CCGCGCCCTCGCCCGCACCCTCGCCATCTGCAGTCAGCTCCTCGGCCTCCACCTCGTCGCCAGCCTCGTCCTCTGCTACCTCCTCCTGCTCTGGAGAAGCGACAGGCCTGGTGAACGCCAGGCCCCGCCGTCGCCGGAGGCACCTCCCAGAGCACGAGAGGTGAGCTGGTCAGCGACACCCAGGCTCCAGCGGACTCGGGTCCTGCCCCTCTGGGGCTGGAAGGAGACGCCCGACCCACTGTCACGCGTCCCCCTGCCCCCCACTCAGGGCCCTCCCAGCAGCCTGTGCTCCGGCCACAGGGCACGGGCAGCGGGGCCCCCACTCCCGTCTGCCTCTGCCCGGGGTCGGGGAGTGGGGGGAAGGGGGACAGACGGGCTAGTCCGGGAGCAGCCCCACAGCCGTGGTCTTCAGAGCGTGGGCCTTGGGGCCGGGCTCACGTCCCAGCCCCTGACTTGCCACTTTCCAGCCTCCGGGGAAGCTCGTCCCCCCGGGGAGAAGTTACACTCACTTCTCAGCTCATAAGGCTGAAGTGACCTCGAGCACAGAGCGCCCTCAGGGGCTGGCACTCTGCCTCCTGTCCTGCCTCTGGACCACGGGGACCGGCTCCCTCTCTCACTGGGACACGGCCCAGCGCACGAGGTGGGAGCGATCCACTCCCACCAGACTTCTGCACCTTTCTACGCCCGAGCACGCCTCTCAGACACCCCTCAACTTCTCTAGGGTCCAGGAGCCACAGCCGTGGGGTCTGCCTGGCCGGGAGCGGGGCGGCACAGACGAGCTGGTCTCCAGGGATCCCGGGGTGCCTCCCCCCTCCCTCCACCCACCCCCGCTCCGTACCTTCCACGGTTCCCTCTGCTCCGAAGAGGTCACGGCCATGAGAGAAGAGACAAGAGGGAGGGAGGTCAGTGTCGAACCAGGCTGGCCGTCCCCCGAGCGAGTTCGCCGTTGTGTGCTTACCTTCCTGCTCCCTGCAGGGCCAACGGGGCACGTGAGCGGTGTGCGTGCACACCCTGCACACACATGCACGCGCACTCACACACGCACGCACACACGCACACGCGCACACACGCGCGCGCGCACACACTGGCCTTTTACGCACGCACACGCACACACGCACACACACACGCACTCGCTCACATGCACACACGCACACACACACGCGCACGCGCACACACTGGCCTTTCCCTGAAGGCGACCCCATTTTTTTCTTGCCCTCCCTGCCTGATGGAATTCACCCTACGAAGACCCCCTGACCTGGCCCCGCTTCTGTCCAGGGCCCCCCCACTGCCCCATGCGACCTCTGCTCAGACAGCCTGGCCCCTTCTGCGTCCGCTCGCTCACCCCGTCCCCTGCCCCTGAGCTTCCTCTCCCTGCAGTCTCTCTCCCAGTCCTAGGCAGGTGACACCCACCTCCCCCGCACAGCCCCCTGACTGCTCAGGCCTCCCGCCGGCCACCCCTCCTTGGAACACGGCACGGCCACGGCTCCCCTGTCTGCTCATTGCTTCTGGCATCTTCTATCCTAACGTCGCAGAGTCAGCTGCGTGAGGCCAGGGCTGTGCCTGTCCCTCCGAACCCTCCCTGGAGGCCAGCCCCAGGAGGTAAGTATTGGATTGGCTGGCGGCCACCCTCCCAGGGTCTGTCCAGCACAGGGCAGTGGGCGGGACACTGTCGGGGGAGCAGGGATCCAACGTGCAGTGACATCACTAGGTTCCGTGTCGGGGTTTCTGAGGCACGGTCAGCTCTGTGGCTTCAGGGCAGTCACTGAACCTCTCGGGGCTGTGTTCAGAGGAGCCAGCTCCTCGGCCCCTCTGCCTATGACCGGTCCCCTGGCCATGCAGGCCCCTGGCCGACCCTGGGAGTGGACCCCTTCACCGCAGAGGCCCCGAGCCTGTGGTCAGCCCGGGGTCTGTAGCCCAGAGGCCCAGGGGTGGGATCGTCGGGGGCTGATCACTCCCTGGGTCCTTAAGCAGGCAGAGCCACGCCCCCTCATGCTCCCAGCGGCCCCAGGGACAGGTGGCAGGGGCTGGCGCATGGACACTCACTCCTCGTACTCCTCGGCCACCTCTTCCGTGTCAGACATGGTCTCCGCCGTCCCAGCAGAAGGGGGATGCTCAGTGTGGGCGAGGGGACCTGCTCCCTCGGCTCAGCCCAGAGAGGCCTGGGGGCGGATGGGGGACCCTGTCAGCCCCGGGACCAGCGCAGGCGGCCCGCCTGCCCCTCCAGCACCCACGCCGGCCAGGGTACGGCCAGGGTCCCGTTCACTCTTGCCCCGGGACAGGCACCCTGGAACCCCTCTGGTCCCTCCACAGCACCGCAGCCCTCCGCACGACAGCTCCACAGCGTCTGGGACTTCCCGACCCCCACGGCCGTCAGACGGGCAGGCGCTGCTGGCCCCTGCTCCGCGTGGTCTGTCCACCAAGGCCGAAAGGCCCCGGAGAGCGGTCACCACTGTGGCACCACTGCAACTGTGTGGAGCACTGTCGGCGGTCGGAAGGAGCGAACCAGTGACAGGTGCTACTTGGCAGGTCTGCAGGCAATTATGCTCATGGGGGAAAAGTCAGTCAGGTGATGCTATTTACATGACACCTTGAGATGGCCACGTTGCAGGAATGTGACAGAAAGGCAGCCTTGGGGGCTGTGCAGAGGGTGGGGGGAGGTGGCAGTGGTGACAACAGGGACATGGAGCCGGGTGTCAGAACCCACACAGGTCAGGATGCATGAGGTCACACACACACGTGCACGCACACATACGCACACACGCACACGCACGCATGTGCACACACGCACACGCACGCACGTGCACGTGCACACGCACGCACACGCATGAGCACGCACGCACCGCACACACACACACACACACACACACACACACACACACACACATACGCGCGCAGACGCGCACACATGCACACAGCCCGAGAGGACCGGGGAGGTGTAGGGTCACGACTGTAGCCGTGTCCGCGTCCTAACTATGACTTGTCACGCCACCGCCGGGGGGATGGGCGAAGGGCTCCAGGGGTCTGGCTGATTCTTATCAACGTTTAGGTCCTCAGGACGGTGGCCAGAGAAGAGCCCCAGGCCCTGGACGGGCAGGGTCTGTGGCAGAGAGGACCTGATGGCTGAGAGGTGGGGGCTGCTCCCTGAGCCAGGAGGACAGGAGGGGTCTGTCACCCCAGGGAGGCAGGTGACGTTGCTCACGGGGTTGTGTACAGCCAGCTGGGCGCAGGGTGTGTCTCCGCTGTCCTCTCTGCCTCCTGCCACCTCAAGGCCACTGGGCCTGGGCCAGGGTCACAGAGGAGGACAGAGCCGCGAGGAGCCTCCCCCCTGCCCCCGGAAGCGCCACGCAGCTCCCAAAATAGCCTGCCGGCCACCGGGGGCGGGGGCGGGGGGCCACCGAGACAGTTGGCCAAAGGGAGGGCTGATGACGGGGCAGGCGACAGGCTGAGCCGGGGGCTCCAGAATGGGAGACAGTCGAGAACCTGGCGGAGCAGGTGCGACAGTGCCCCGAAGCAGCTGCGCCCCGCACCCACGCCCCACCTGCTCCCGCAGACTGCTTTCCAGACGACTCCCTCACAGCCGAGAGGTCAGGGTCACCTTTCACGGGGACTAAAGCCAACACAATAGACGGCAGAAGCCGTAGCGGCCGTGGGGTCGGACGATCTGGGTTTAGAACCGGTTTTCGCTGCGTCACCTTAGTTCAGCCCCTTAACCTCTCTGGGCCTCAGTGAACCGATCTATAAAATCGGTGAGTTCAGGTCCCAGCCCTGCAGAAAGTCCCTGGGCTTCTGCGGAATGTCACCCATCCCTCAGCCCTTGTCCCCAGCTTCAGCTAGGCTGTCCTAAGCCTGCAGCTGTTAGCCCACCCTGGGAAGCCAGGGGACAGGGGAGTGGAGGCTGGGGACAGGAGGGAGGGGCAGCAGGCAACAGATCCTCCGAGATGCCTCCTGGGTCCCAGAGGACAACTTGCCCTACAAGACAGGTCAGAGTCAGGAGGGCCAGCTGCCCTAGAATGTGCTGGAACATGCTTGAAATTCCTTCCGTGCCAGGCAGCCCCTTCCCCAGTCTCCTCGGCCTGTCTGACAGAAGCTGGCAAACGGAAGGAGTGTCCCTCTCTCCACAGTCGTGTTGGGGTGGGGGCAGCCGGACTCCGGGGTCACCCCCTAACCTAGCGCCCCCCGAAAGGCTCTCCCAGGGGATCCCCCACCCCGTGCCGCTCGGCCCCTGCCCGCCTCTGGACTGTGTCTCCTCTGTGCTTCCAGGACACCTCTGCATCCCTGGGGACGAGACTCGGCACCCAGGACCGTCCCAACGGACATGCCCCCGCCTCACTCCATGCTCTGGGAGCAAGGGCCTGCCGCTGGGAGGCGGGCCGAGCAAGCGGGGAGCCCCGCGGGGAGATCTCGCTGCATCCAGAGGCGCGGCGATGGGCAAGCTGAGGCCTGGGGCCCGTCAGTCGGCCGGGACCCTGGCTGCATAAGTGTCCAATGGCAGCCCCCAGATGCCCCGGTCCCCGGTGTCCACCAGCAGCCTGTGCTCACCCCTCGGAGCCCCATCCCTGCAGCCCCCGCCCCGGCCAGGCATGGCCTCCCGTCGTGGAAATGCGGCCGCTCTGACTCCCGGCCCCCCACCCCACCCCACGTGGATGCAGGCAGCCTGGACACGGGGCCCAGACGTGGGGCCCGGACGCGGGGCCCGGACGCGGGGCCCATTCCCTCCTCTCTGCTCCCCGCATCTCACCCGCCCTACCTCAGAACAGACGTCCCGGCAGAGAGGAGCCTGCTGAGCCCGGGCAGCGACTGGCTGACTGGCCGGGGCGGGCTGGGGCGGGCTTTAAGCGGCACTGGCTGGGGCCTGGGAGAACAGCCGGGGTGGCAGGGATCCGGGGAGGGGGGTGTCGGCTGCTATTTTGGCAGGTGCCGGGGACGAGGCTAAAGAAACATGTCCCCCACACCATATAAGCCCATTTGGTCATCCAGCTGCTCAGATAAGCTATTTAAAACCGAAACAGACGTGCAGGGGACAGGAGGGAGCAGGCAGTGACATTCGCCAGCTGTCCCTCTTGACAATCCTGATAAAGCAGATGCCAGTGGCCCAGGCCCGGGAAGGAGGCTGGGAGCGGGGTCGGGGGCCAGACAGCCTCCTAGACACTTCCCGCCGAGTGTCCGAGACAGGCGTCCTGTGGGCAGAGGTGTCCCCCAGGCCACCGGCCCCTTCTCATGGGCCGAGTGGCCTTTGCAAGGCGACTGTCCTCGGACCTCGTGAAGACATCGGCAAAGCACGTCTTCCCTACGACCCCACAGCCACGTGACAAGCTCCGCTCCCTGGGGAGGGGCTGAAACGGCCACAGGAAGTCAGATGGAGTGTGGAACCCCAGTCAAGAGTGACATTCACCTGGCACGGGTGGCTGGCTGCGTGTGGGCTGCAGAGGCTGTTGGGCGCCTTCGAATGGAGCCTGACAGGGCCACGGGGGCCAAAGCGACTGGGCCAGAGGCACGTGGGGTTTTCTGTCATCCGCCAGCACGTGGGGCCGCTGCCCCCAGGACAGCGCTCGGGACATTTCAGGGCTCAGTGGGTGACAAACCAGCGTGAGGAGGAAGCCAGTCTGGGCGCTGATTCCACCCTCGGCCCCGAGGCCCCTGTCTAACCGTGGAGAAGGGATGCCCGTCGTCTGGAGCAGCCCCGCTCCTCCCGCCCTTCCTGAGCTGGCCCGTCACAGTCCACGCCCTTCGCTGTGGACAAGGCAAGTCCATCTCGCCGGGTCACTGCCCTGTCTCGCCTGAGCGCGTGTCCAGCCTGCCCAGTCCTCCTCTCAACCCACCGCCTTGAGAGCCACCGCCCTGCAAGCACGTAATGCCCTTGAGCGCCCTCTACAGGCAGGACTTCCATCTGCCCCTCGCCCACCTGCTCTCAGGCTCTTGCCCCGTCACTCAGCTGAAACTGTCGCCTTCATGGTCCCCAGCGGCCTTGGAGCTGCATGGCTTGACTCCCTAACCCCCCACCCTCCGCCCCACCCAGGCTTATCTCCTGCCACGTGGCCCTCCACGCTGCTGGATCAGTGGCAGGACAAGCCGAAGCCACACGCCTGCCAGCTAGCGTCCAGCGGGAAGAGAGGCGGGGGTGGAGGGGACAGGTTTACAGAGGAATGGTGGCCACCAGGCTTCCACATGCAAGCCTC